AACAAAAACAACCACAACAACAACAACAGCCAGCGAAATTATTCCAACACTAATAAGGAAAACTAGTAACACTAATGAGACTGATCATCATCAACATCATCATCATCATCGCCAGGAGCTTCTGCACGGGCCAACTCTCAGATTCTCGTGTCCAGCCTGAAAGTCTCGCTGCGGAGGGTGCGGAAAAGCCGAAGTGAAGGTCCTCAGGTTTAGGGTTTCGAGTTCAGGGTTTAGGGTTTCGAGGTCAGATCAGGATATTAGCATCGCTGCCTCTATGAGGCTTACGTCCACCGTGGCACCTGGGGCCAGGCAGAAAGGCGGATCTGCGATGTCTATGAACTTGCGATGACGAATCTGAAGGAACCCAGAGACTCCAATACCCCTTAATTAAGGACTATACCTTAAATTATGGTAGGATCCCTAATATGCTTTAAGGTCTATTCCTTAATTAAGGGGTATTGGAGTCTCTGGGAAGATAAGATGGAAGCTCTTCATCGCCATGGTGAAAACCGCGTTCTCGATCCATGGCAACACCACCTCACTGCAAAAGACGACTTGCCCCGACCAGGTCTTAACCCACACCCATGAATTCAAAAAGCAAGGAACCCCATGCCTTAACATAGACCCTAAACCCTAAACCCTAAACCCTAAACCCTAAACCCTTAGTAGGATTCTAGATGTCGGACCCCAGGTAACGCGCCCGAGGAAGTCCCATAAAAAACGTTAAACAGCAAACCCGATAAGACCCCTCCTATGGCCGAAGCGAACCCCCCACTCTTTCTAAACGCTGTTCTTGAACAGCTCTAAGGGCCTTATTCCAAAGACACCTATACGACTTTAACTTTACTATCATATAGTATAGTATGGCATAATACAGCATACTACACTATAGTATACTATACCAAACAAGACCATACTATACCATACTGTACTATACCATACCATACCGTCCCGTACCAGACCGTCCCGCACCATACCACACCGTACCACACCGTACCATACCGTACCGTACTCTACTACCCCTGAAGCCTAAAGCCTAAACCCTAAACCCTAAACCCTAAACCCTAGACCCCAAACACTAAACCCTCCCTAAACCCTAAACCCTAAACCCATACTATGCTAATACGACCCTCATCTTCAGAGATCCGCACCTGGAGCTCAGGCCCAACAGGCAGGGAAACAGCACCGAGCCCAAGATCGGACCGCAAGAAGCGTAGCACCTTTGAGGGCTTGGTAGGGCTTTTGGTGGTTTTTTAGGGTCTTGAGGCTTTATGGTTTAGGGCTCTAGGGCTTTTTAGAGCTTTTTGGTGGCTTTAGGCCTTGAGGCTTTATGGCTTGGGGCAAGAAGGATTTCAGGGTTCAGCAGGGGTTTTCGGCTTTAGGAGTATGCTCAGGGTTCGGGGCTTTAAGGGGCGTTTTTTTTGACACTCACGCTCGGACAAGCCTGGCAAGGTCTGTAGCGATACTGATCCATAGGGGCGTTTAGGGTTTATGGCTTCAGGATTACAAGGCGACATACACGGAAATGTGCATGACAACATTGGACCTTGTGCTTCTTTGGTGCCTTTCCAAAATAAATCCTAATGGAGGCGGTGAGGCTTGTGCCTTGTTGAATTCGACGTCGTTGTCCACATGCCCAACCTGCACAGACCGTGTTCGAGCAGGCTCTGCACTTTGGTATTGCGAAACCTCATGGGGCCCACACCTCTCGTAGAAAAGATCGAAACACATGGCCCACAGGCCCCTGCGCACTGCATCGAAACTATGAGGGTTATTGTAATACTATGATGCCATAATGTGAGCCATATTCGTATGGTTCTTTTTGACTTGTCTATACGGGAATCTTCCCAATCTTCTGCCCTCCTTCCAGAAAATCTTCTCCAGATCGATGGCGCCATCGATAGAGGGAGGCTGGAGTGCCTGCCAGGCAGAGTGCGCAGCTCCCGTGCAAGAAACGTTTCTAAGAAAGATAACTTGAGGTCCGGGCGGCGGCCGGCTTGAGATATGGTTGAACTTTTAGCCTGAGTTCCCGAGAAACCTGGACGCACAGATTGGAGTGGGACAAGAACAACAGCAAAGCGTTCGTTCGCTTTAGCCTCTGAAGACAGAGCAGCAAGCGCGGCAGAAACCTGCACGGGTCTCTTGAACTTGCGACCTTGCTATTTACAGAAAGGCTGACACAGTTCATCCGAAACAGCCTTGCTGCACAGCACCTTCGAAGCAAAGTCATTCACTAAAGCCTGAGTCAATCCAAAGCCGGCCCACTCAGCCTACTCAAACGAAAGGAACGACAGAAGGCAAGGACTCGTATTCCTTGCTCCGCAATCTTCAAGACGTCGCATGCTGGAGACCTGAACCATCTAGGGCGCAAGGCCTGTGATGGAAACGTCGCGGTCTGCAAAACTTGCGATTTGGTAAGATGCGGTCCCTCCATGGAAGTCCAATTGCGTGATGTCCGGGGTTAACCTAACAGAAACTGCAAATGCACACCCATTTCTGGGAAACCCCGCGTACCTGAGGCCCACGCTCGCATGTGGTTGAAGCTTTGCCCGGAAATCCATCCACCGAGGGCACCTGAAAACAATTGTTTGCCCGCCCNNGCCCCCCCCCCCCCCCCCCGCAACTTGCGACCCAATAATCTCATGGAGCCTGCATGCCAAGTTTGATCACTGATGCAGAAGATGCAATAGCCATCGTACATGGGTGAGTTTTTCCAACCTGCAGCAGGCAACTGCTTAATGATTCCGTCTAGTTAGGATTGCAGTACCATGACAGGAGCCCTTTTAAAAGCCATACCCCCTTTCATCCGGTAAACACCGGTGAAAAAAACGCCTCGAGTGACGTGTTCACGAGGCAACGAATTCCAATGTCCTCCCGGTGAGTCTGAGCACAGGTACAGCTCATCCCAAAACATGCAGCACACGTGCATTCAGTCTCAGTCCGCTTGCAAACCAATCTTGATGTGGCTCGCGTCTGCGAAAGCCTCTGTGAGCAGAAGCTCCTCAACGGCGAGCCCTGGCAGCAAAGAGTTGCACGTACATCCATAAAGTAGGTCTCATGGAAATGCAACAGGCAGCCTTGACAGCTTGCGCCGGTCACATTGATTGCGAAGCCAAGTCGTGCAGGTGCCTCTAGCAAAGCTTTTTCTGGGGCATGTCGAAGGACCAGACAGGCAGGCGCAATGAGAGCGCCTGCACGACCGAGAAGTGCGGCACGAAGACCTGAGCGAGCACCGGAAAGTGTGATCTTCTGCTTCCATGCCAAGCTCGTGCCTAGGGCTAGCCTTTTCCAGCTTTGCCCACAAAGAAAACATGGTTTTTACATTGTCAAGGCAGCCGTCCCAACCCTTAACAGCATCAGCACGGACCCAACAGGCAGCGCGCAGGTCTAGGCACCACCTCCACCTGAAGACGTCTGCTGCGGAAAGGGGGGGGAGGCATCCTCACGAGGATTTGAATGGCATGGCATCGGCCTTGGAAAATCCGGGGTGTGTTCCCCACCCAGGTATGCGAACAACTTCTGGGACATCGAACCATAAACAATCACGAACTGTGCTAAAACGTTACGAGTAACTGCATGCCGCAGTGCTGCCTAGCTGGGTTGTAGTGGCGGTGGCCAAAGCAGGAGCAGCCGAAAACAGGCTAGGCCATCCGAGCTTGCTGCCTGTAGGCTCCCGAGCCAGTCCCGCAGTGGCACAGCCTCCGCTCGAGTGATTCTGCTTCGTCTGGCAGATTCGCTGCACGGTTGAGCTGTCGGTTCAGCAACATGCAAATCTGCTTCGCTTGCGACGCACCCTTTTGCGTGCAAGACCAGACGCCCGGAGTCATCGCGGCCAGGGGTTCCCTCTGACCAGAAGGCCGGGCAGCCTGCGGCACCCTCTCTCAAACACACCCACGAGCCGGCGAACGGGCTAGACACCCCACTTGTTCCCGCCTGGTGGCGCCTTCCCTGTTTCTGCATCCAACCAAGATTCCAAAGCTGTCTTTCGGCGTCCCAGATCGCTTCTGGCTGCCATCTCAGCCCGGACTGCTCTGGACTCCTCGTCGTCTGGGTCTTCTGCTTCTAAACAAAAGCGTCGCCACAGCTTTGCCTTCTCAGGGTCGCTCATGAAACTCCTAATCTGGATAACACGCTGTCTACGCTCTTCCTGCTGCTCTTTGTCGCTCTTGACTAAGCCATAAAGATTGGAGTCCATGAAGCCACCAAACTCCATTTCATCGTCCTCGAAGTCACTCGCCACTTTGGGAAGCCTTGCTTCAAGCGCGAATGCCGACAAGCGATCTGCAGAGTGATGCTCAGGGTTCAGAACGAACTGCTCCAGCACATCTTCTGGCATGTCCGAGGTGGACTTGTAGCCTGTCTCTTTGCAGTACGCTTTCCACGACTTCTCAGCCTCATCTGCTTTTCTAAGGCGCTTCAAGAGCTTCAAGTGGCTGTAGCTTCCCGTTTTCACGGTTTCCCCCTTGACAGTGGACGCGGGCTCCTTTTGGGCAAAGAAGTCGAAGAAGCAAAGGCCACACGTCAAGTGTAGGAGCAAGCAGAGCCACCACCGTGAAGCAATCCGAGTGCGTGAAACGGGCATTATGCAAGCTCTAGTACAACATGTACATGTGTGTATATAATTATATATATATATATACATACATATATATATATATGCAAATATATATATATATATATATGCAAACATATATATATATATATATGCAAATATATATATATATATATATTTATTTATTTATATATATATATATATGTATGTATGTATGTATGTACATATCATCGATACTCGTAGGCGTCGCGCTCTCTTCAATCATGGTTGGTCTTTGACGCGAGAAGTTGGACCTGCTTCGAACCGAAATGCAAAAGGTCGGGAGCTGAGAGGTACCTCTGTACACATTCTCCTATGCATATATAATATAGGGTTTAGGGTTTAGGGTTTAGGGTTTAGGGTTTAGGGTTTAGGGTTTAGGGTTTAGGGTTTAGGGTTTTATATATATTATCATTTATATTTGCATCCTATTTATGCATATATATATATATACAAACAAACAAACAATACACACACGCACTAAAAATGTGTATATGTATATATATGACTCTATATATATATATATACATACACACGCACAGACGCTATGTATTATGCCTGTTTCAACATGCGCAACTTCTCTGCTCTACTGCGCTTGGAGCGGAGCGTGCCTCGAAAAGTCTTACCGAATCCACTAGGAGGAGGAGACCTCGGCATGCGGACGCTCTGACGAGACTGCAAGAGCATGCAGCAGTTGGTGTAGCTCAGGGACCCTGATAAGAACAGGGGTTTGCGGCATAAAGTGAGAAATTAAGGAACCCCTAGGAATGAGATTGATAAGATTTGATAACTGTTTGGGCTTCTACATTCTCATCTTCTTTCGGGAGGCATGGTTTCCAGGGCTCTTCCTCCGCAGAGAAATGGGGAAACAACAGCTCTCTCCTCGACAAAATGGCCCTAACCAGAGAGGGTTCTCTAGGACGCCGCGAATGATTTCTCGGGAGCCCCAAACTTGCCACCCAAAGACTCCAAAACCCCTTAATTAAGGAATATACCTTAAATCATATTAGGGATCCCATTATAATTTAAGGTATCTTCCTCAGTTGAGGGGTTTCGGAGTCTCTGAGCACAATGACCTTCAGTCATGCCTTGTGATCAACAACTTGCCCGGGGAATTGAGGCCGGCACATAGGGCAGCTGCTTTCCACGGCTGTTCCATGCACGCACGTTCCTACAGGCTTCCTAGGGGCATACGTTATGAAGTCGGTCTAAGTCTCTTTTGACGTGTCTTTGGCTTTTTCGACCTTCGGGTTCGACGTTGGATGTGGGGTGCAGCTGTGCAATGTGCTGTGGCTGCTTGGGGTGTGCATCCGGATTTGCCTGAACCTATCTGCTCAATAACGGCTCTGCCGGCAGGGCCCGACCAGCGTCACAGAGATGTCCTGGAGCGACTTGCTCGCCCGCTCAAACTCCTAAGTACTGTGCTCAGCTGCTCCTGTATCTTTCAGCACACTCTGACGCTCACTATCCAGTCATCGAAAGGGCCAAGCACGGCAGAGCTGCGAGTCTCCGCAGGCAGCGCCAGCCCCTTTACGGTCTTGCCGCCTCCTCCCTTAACGACTGTACAAAGTTTCGACCTTCTCGGTCAGGAAGCGCAAACTCTGAATTGGCATTGCTCGGTCGAGCCAAAACACATCATGTTACAATCTGGTCAGTAGGTGTGAGCCATTCCTTCCTTGGACAGAGCCTGGGAGAATTGACGCGTCTCAGCTCCCTTCGATTAAAGATCAGCTTCGAGGTCAGCACGCGTCGACTGTCAGGTTCGCACAGAGGACGTCCATGCATTGAGAGCTGCTGCCCTGGTCGAAACGACGAGGATTCCGTGGCACTGCCACATCTTTGACTGGAAGCCTTGACCCCTGGCTGAAGGCTCCAACCACCTGCAACAGCACAAACTCACAGCACCACACTAGAGGCCTAGCTTTAATGCAGGGTAGCTGCCGTCAAAAGTAAGGATGTCGAAGGGCAAAGTCCAGCCATCAACCTCGAAGCAGGGACTGCCAACTGCGAAGCTTGCCTACCAGCATCGCTGAGCGAGATGCCGCACTGCCATCCCACCAGTCTTGGTACGTGGACCTCAAAGCAGCATGCAGCTGTATTATGAAGCGATGGCTGAGTACTTCTTGGTGAAGGCCCGCTAAGGTTTGGACGACCTGACAGCATGCGATGTTCAAGGCTTGGGGGATGCGGGATCAAAAGCGGGGCGGCCAAGATCAATCCCAGAGACTCCAATATCCCTTAATTAAGGAATCTACCTTAAATTATAATAGGGATCCCCAATATGAGTTAAGGTAGATTCCTTCATTAAGGGATTTTGGAGTCTCTGACATCTTGGCATCCGGCACTCCTTGGCCAGTGCTCGCACAGTCTTTCGGCCGCTCTGCTTGGAAAGCGCAACCGAAGGACGCTTCAAACCTCACACTAGGGGTTTAGGGTTTAGGATTTTTTTTGGGACGCCTTTTCCCATCTAGCGGAGCATCCACTATCTAGAATCCACAAGGGTTTAGGGTTTAGGGTTTAGGGCTGGCCCAGGTGCAATCACTCTGCACAGATGGGCTGCTGCATGTCAAGCGTCGCGTTGGCATCGAGACCCGTGCGTATGTGTCTGCTTCATAGAAGAACAGGGACTCTTGCATCAAGGAACCAGAAACGTGAGCAGATGCAAAGCCAGAAGATAGGGCCCTGATGAATCTAACAATAATGTCGAAGATTTGAGGTTCGGGCTTTGTGTCCACAGGTGGGCTGCAGCCTCGGTGATTGCAAGATGCGGTGGCACCCAGGAAGGAGACACATGCCCTGCCGCACTCTTAGTTGCCATGCTTGGGCGCCTGCCTTGCGGTGGACAGGGCGGCACGCTCTGAACCTCAAGTAGTGGTGCAGCTGTGCCTTTGGTTGCTTTTGCCGCTAGCTGTCAATCTTACCTGCTTTCCCAGAGAGGGTGGGCCTGCGCGTTTCAGCAACAGTTTCCATCGTCTCCGATCGTGTGCGAACCCATGTGCTGCCGTGAAGAGCCTACTCTTGGCCTGAGAGCCCTCAGGCTCATATGAGGCCACCACAGCGCAATTGGCTCCATCTTCGTCGCACCCAACCTACCACGCCACTCGATCGGGGTCGCACCGAGCTAGCTTGTGTGTGAAAACCCCCTCGGCGGGACCTTGGGCAAGAACCGGGTAGAAGGCAGTCCTCTTCGCGGAATGGAGTACACATACGACCTAGGAACCGAGGAGCGCACACTTCTCTTCGTCAAGACATGCCAAATCCGAGGTTCCTGCTCACCAGGGCCGATCTTGACGATGTCTGCATCAAACGGCATCTTGGTGCCTACGCCGGCACAGAATCAAACCGGTTCGAGAACTCGAAAGCAAGCGTCTGAGATTCAGTCCGGTCGACTGCACCCAGATTGTCCTGGGACCTTTGCAAGACATATGTTACAGCGCCTTCCATGTCCCTGTTTCTTCTGCTTCCTCGTCGCCCTTTTTGATAACATTCGCACAAAGGAGATGCTAGCATGTTGGAGAGTGGAAGGTGGGAGTGATTTTTTTCAAGCACCGTGGTGAAAGCAGGAGGCCAAAGGCGACGCCGTCTCGAGAGCTGCTGAGCAGTCGAATGCTAGCCCTGCCGGTCCCAGAGTAGTCGGGCAGAATACAGTGGCTAAAAAGACAGCATCAATGAAGCGGCGTCCGCATCTTTCAGTACTCTCGGTATGTTGGTGTCGTCTGATGGTGTTCCGTTTTCTGGCATGCTCAGGCGAACCTGTCTTCTGAAGTCCCGTTATCATCCTCGACTACTTTGAGAAAGTTCCTGCGAAGTTTCCGTACATAGTTTCGCCAAGCTGTTCCGGCTCGGCATCAACTTCTGCTTTGAGTGTGTCTCCAATTCTCCGATGTTAGAAAAGGCTGGCACATGCTTCGGCTAGCCCCCAGACTCTGCAGACCACTCCTGCCCACCCACATTTTTCGCCCATCGCCCTCAGGTCCAAAGCAGCCTGAAAAATAACCATGTCCACGAGAAGCAAACCCTAAACCCTAAACCCTAAACCTTCGACCAAGCAAACCCACCACGGCACTGGGTCTGCTGCAGTGGTTCGTAATGCGAAATCGCTTCTGGCCTGAGCTCCGCCGAGAGCCACGAACGCAGATCATAGAAGATTGGGAGTTATGTATGTATGTGTCTATTTTAGCTCCCACTTGGCACCGTCAGCCAGCTGACACTGCATGGCAGGTCGTATGTGTCTATGTATCTACACATATGTATGTATATATATATATATACGAATGTGTATATACACTCTCTTATGATTTGTATATACATATGTATATATGTGTACAGAAGACAGATCTGACCCGTTTCGCTGGAGCGCCTTGAGCGTGACACACAGAGACTGCTGGCAAAGCTGCCGGCTGCCATGTAATCCTGACGTTGCCGTCCTGAGCCGTTTACGGTTCAGGGTCTGGGGTGACCGCCATCAAGACTGCGCAAAATCCAGCTGGCAGCTTGCAGCCTGCAGTGTTTCTCATGATTTGCACATACTGGTCTGAAGCTCGACTCTCAAAAGTCTGCATCTACGTGCTCTGAGATGCCAGTCTTGACATCTCCAACTTTGGAGCAGGACAGCTAGAGTCTGGTCGGCGAGAGTCAGCTAAGAGAAAATAAGCTTTCAGCGCTACAGCGCACCGTCATCGTCATCCTCGTCTTCATCCTCGCTCTTCTTTTTCTTCTGCTTTTCCGGCTCTGGCAGAGTGGCTTTCTTGACGGCGGAGCCCGTTGGCTTGGCATCGCTCTTGGCATCCAAGGAGTCCAGGACGGCAGAGATCAGCAGCGCTCCCCCCACCGCGCCACCGACTGGCACCGCCACATCTGCGACAGCGCTCAGGCGTCCTGCAGCGCACTGACGATTTGCTGACGCTCGCAAATTGCGGTGTGAAAACTCCCCAGAGACTCCAATACCCCCTAATTAAGGAATATACCATAAATTGTAATAGGATCCTTAATATGACTTAAGGTATATTCCTTAATTGAGGGGTTTTGGAGTCTCTGCGTCCTCAGATGGTGCACACATTGGCAGACTCAGTCCTGCAAGGCTGGTGCTCATATCACTCAGCTGGAGAACCTCCTCGTCAGCCAAGGAGAAATCGAAGATCTGCAAGTCTTCCTTCAAGTGGTCCTCTTCTAAGGCAGAAGGGCACATTTCACATTTGCTTTCGTTCGTTTTTGTCTTGCGAAGAAGCGGCCTTGTTCTTGGACTGCGTCGTGAACGTGGCTCCGGTTTGCAGGATCCACCGCCTAGAAAGTTTGGGGTTGAGGGTTCAGGGTCTAGGAAAGCTGCTGCAGCCAACAACTGATGGAGCATCGCGGTGAGATCAGCAGAACTACGGCCAGAAAACCAAGTTGTAAAACCCCCCTAGAATCTAGAACCCTCATGAGTGGTTCAGACCGTGGTTGATATGTCTTGCCTCTTTAACCTCGAAGCCCTGAACAACCCTGATACTTTGTCCAAAAAACAGCGCTACTTGCGCTGCGGACTTGCCGTACTTCTGACCGATCTCCTCGGCCAACTTCCTTAGAAGGAAGGGTGGGGTTTGTCGCTCGGAACTTCTTATAAAGGTTGGCTGCAACTGTTGCTACAAGGGTTACATGAAGGGCTTATGATACGGGTGCCGATTAGAGTAGGGTTTTGGGTGACATGTCTTTATGCTGCGCTTGCTTCCCAAACCGGAGGGTTTCGGTGCTCACACTCGGACTCTCAAGGCGAGGCACGTGTCCACTTGCTCTCTGATGAATGCAAGAAGAAGCTAGCGTTGGGCTGAGGTTCTTGCATTGGGTCAGTAGATCGTACACTGAAGAAGAAAGATGTAAGCTCAAATTCGGGAGTACCTACCATTTAGGGTACCGGATTTCCGAAAACTCCATAGACTCTTGAACCTAAATAAGCTGTTAAAGCCCTGGGCCTTGCTTTGCCCAAACTCTTGATGTCCGGTGGAAAACCCGAATCTCTAAACCCGCCAGCTCCAAGCTCTAAAGCCTAGAACCTGAGGCCCAAGCCCTCTCTCTTTTTTTTTCTTTCACCAGGGCTAGGGGTAAGGGAGAACAAGCCCCCCTCACCCGCGCGCGTTAAGCCCTCTCTCTCTCTCTCTCTCTCTTTCTTTCGCCAGGGCTAGGGACAAGGGGAAGCTCCCCTTGCCCGCGCGCTCTCTCTCTCGCTCTCTCTCTCGCCCTCTCTCGCTCCCAGGCACAAGCCCGATTGAAGGGCTGCACTTGCGGCCCTAGGTGAAAGGAAGCATGTGAGCTCGAAGCCCAAGAATCCTGTGAGCCACTGATGCATCGACTGTCTCAGCAAAGTAGACTGTGTGCTGTTGTCGGGCAAGCAAGTCACACACCGTCTGGGACCAAGCAACAGGAGACTCCGTACAAGTGAGCTGAACAACAAAGGGACTAGGGCCTAGGGCGATCATGAAGCTGAAGCCAATCAGACCAATGCAGAGTCGCCGTTGCAGCGTTGATGACATCAAACGAAAATCCCAAGCCCTTTTGCAACTTTCCTGCTGCGGCTCCGCCAGGACGAGCACTTGACCAAATCACTTAGTGAGTAAGCGACTCGTGCGCTCAGGCCAAGCATCCGGAATGATGTCACATGCAAGTACAATTTGTCGCAAGCCATTTTCACCCTAAACCTCAAGCCCATACTGAATCCTAAAACCGAGACCCCAAGCCTAACAGCCCATTTTGACACCTGGGCACCCAAAGACTCCAAAACCCCATAATTAAGGAACATACCTTAAATCATACTAAGGATCCTATTATAATTTATGGCATATTCCTTAATTAAGGGGTATTGGAGTCTCTGGGCAAAGCATATGCCAGGTACGAGGCGCCGACGTACACACTCCTAGAACCCATACCCCCAGCCGGAAACCCAAGCTCCCCTAAAACCTCCCTAAACCCTAAACCCTAAACCCTAAACCCTCAACCCTAAACCCAAAACCTGAACCCTAAACCCAAAAACCCTTTTTGCATCCAGCCTGCAAGAGCCTCTGCTGGGAACCTAACGAGGGCTTAGAGAACCCTAACCCCTAAAACTCTAAACCCTAAACACTGAAACCTAAACCCTAAACCCTATAAACCCTATAAACCCTATAAACCCTATAAACCCTATAAACCCTATAAACCCTATAAACCCTATCAACCCTATAAACCCTATAAACCCTATAAACCCTATAAACC